CTCATTGGATAGCAGTCAAGAATATTCTTAAGTATATGCGAAGAACTAAGGACTGGGTCCTTGTGCTTGGTGGCAGTGATGACTTAAGAGTAACTGGGTATAGTGACACCAGTTTTCAGACAGACAGAGACAACTTCTGTTCTCAATCTGGCTGGGTGTTTACCCTTAATGGAGGAGAGATAACTTGGAAAAGTTCCAAACAGGAGACCGTGGCTGATTCAACCTGTGAATCAGAGTATATAGCTGCAAGCAAAGCATCAAAGGAGGCTATATGGTTGAAGAACCTCATCGAAGACCTTGGAGTTGTGCCAGCCATAAAGGAGCCAATGGAGATTTTTTGTGATAATGAAGGAGCGGTTGCCTTAACAAAGGAACCAAGAGATCATGGTAGATCAAGACATATCGACAGAAAATACCACTTTATCAGACATAGAGTAAAAAAAGGACACCTCGTCATGAAGAGGGTATCATAAGAAGAGAATCATGCAGATGCCCTCACAAAGGGTCTAAGTAGGGTTAAGCGCGTTCAGCATGCAAGGAGCATTGGTCTGAAGGATAATATTAGTTTTAGTAGTTAGATAGATATTTAGAAACTTGTAACAAAGTAAATTTAATTGACTTTTGATGATTAAATAATAGTGAATTATTTATGAGTATTGTTTACTATCTTTTGTCAATTTTTTATTATTGTGTTTCATTTTGCATGTTTTACTTCCCGAATAATTAGATTATTCAAACATCCACAGTCGATCATACTTTTGGAAGTAAGTAATGAATCAAGACTGTCATGAATTGGATTGTAGATTGTCTAAAGAGTTTTAGATATAGCAATGGTTTTGCTACAACATTCATGAGTACTTTTGAAATGGGGATTTAAGTATTGGATTAACCCACGCTCATAGAATTACTTCATGGAATTTATCACGAGTAATTCTGAGACGATAATATCTTATAATCTTGAAAGGAGATATATGAGTTGTTGTTTACGAGTTGGTTGTGCATTGATAATACGTAAACGCATCAGTAACTTGATGTTAAAAAATGTCTTGTTGTGCATGATTTGAAAAGTAAATAGTACAAGCATATAAGACAAAGTTTATCTGTTCCTTTTTCCCTAACGGGAAAAGCAAATTCTTGGGCGCCTCGATGATTTGGTGTTGAGTTATAGTGTCGAGCCCGTCCAGGACTAAATTGATGTGTTCGATTAGTAATTCTTTGTCATTACAAATCAGAAATCGGGAAACAAAGTATTGGACAATAAGATTGATTCAGTTCCATGTCGTTTTTCCACATGATATATTGCAGAACGGAGGATTATATGATCATTTATCTTAGGACTCATATCTGACTAGGTCAGAGTTCGTCAGCGGCTTTGAGAGCTACAATTTGCTAATAAAAATTTGAAGTTATACTGGCAACTAAATTTATTAGACTTATCCAAGTGGGAGACTGTTGGATTAGGTGTCTAAACTCATAACTATAATTGGTATATACTTGAATTGATAGTAGCACATTCCTTTTGGGTTGCCTTCATACGAACAACTAAATAGGATGACCTATTGGGAAAGAGGAAGAATTTATTATTTGATTAATAAATTGAAATGAATGATTTATTAAGTATTATGGAAATAATATATTAATTAGAAATCATATTATTTAGTTAATAGTTAATCAAAAATTAATTGGAATTAATTTTGGGATTAATTGAATTAATTAAAAGTGCAGGGGCTGTTTGGCAATTTATTGATAATTGAGAAAAGAAGCTCTATAACCTCCCTAAAGAGGCTTGGACAAAATCTTCTAGGAAGGCCCTAGAATTTTCGTCCAAGGGCTATTGGATGGAAGGTTTAGGGTATGCTTGGTCCTTAAGCAAAGCAATTAGGGTTTCTTACTTCTAACCCTAACTTTGGCTCTAAGTCACCTCACTATATAAGGAGCCTAACCTTTGGTATTTTTGGCCACATGAAACCCTAGAGAGTAATAGCCGAAAATTAAAGCTTCCTCCTCCCCTCTCATATCTCATCTTCTTGCTAAGTGTGTTTATGATTCATTAGAGGTATTACACTTGTGATACTTGCTCTCAAGCTTCAACATCTTCAAGGTTTTGGATTGTTATTACTACATAACAATCAAAGGTATGTATCATAACCATTATTATGTGATTTTCGATTATTTATCATAGATCTAGGGTTTATCAATTGTTGTTCATATTGTATGTTCAATTAGAGAAGACATAGATCTTATTAGGGTTGCATGCACACATAGGATTGTATGTTTTGCTTTAAACCCATCAGTATTTAGATAATTGAATGATATATTTGATTATGTGCAAAGATGTTATATGTTAGATAAAATGTTATAAAGATAAATTTATATGATTTATATCGTATATGTATTTTATGAATATAATACATTGGGTACTGAAAGGTAATGTAAGGTTAAAGTGATAATATGTAATAGTACGATGAAAGATGAAAATCATGATAGGATATCGCGACTTTAATAGTACTATTGTACTAATTATGTAAGAACTAGTACTATTATATTAACGATGTAGGAACTAATACTATTGTACTGACGATGTAGGACTAGTACTATTGTACTAACGATGTAGTCATCTAAATAGAATATAGCTGGCACCCACGAAAATTAAAATGATGGTCCTTAAGATAGGTCTCTATAGATAAAGAATATATTGGAGATGGGTAATTGGGTTAATTGTTTGATATGAAATGGATAATTAAACAAATTAACTACATTATTGTGGGTTGCAAACCCTATATACTCACCAGTTTCTCAACCTAGCCCACTCAGTTTCTTTGTATCATAAGTAGCAGTACAAAGATAATGATGTATGGATCCGATGAGAGATTCGAGGAAATATAGGTCATAGATGTTGTAATGCCAGTAATGATTGCGTTTATGCTTATGTTTCTTGTATCAGTTATGACATCCCAAGTTTTTAATAATCAATGAAAAACATTTATTCGGAAATACTTTTTATGGGACTAATTCTGCAATTATAAATAAACTCTATTTTAAAATAATCATAAATAAGAAAAGCCTTTTTCTGACCATGAAAATGGGTATGTCACAAAATCTCGATAAATGGTCGTCAGTTGGTATTTTTTATAGTAGTCATCACGACCCATTTCAATGTGAAAACATTTTGTATTGCATTTCTATAAATGCTCACTCGCTTGTGCATTTCTGGTCTTCAGGTCCTTTGATATGTTAACCCACGACCGAGCCAACACGGATTCTTCACTCGAAGTCCACAATTGAGGGGCTTCCTTTCCTTTTACTTTGAGTTGAGAGGTTTGGAGATGGGTTGGAGTTGAGTTTCAGGGATGTCTTCGGGTGGTGATTTCATATACGTAATGAGCTCGACTTCTGGTTTGGAGGGTGTTGGGTTTCCAGAGCATATTCGGGAAGAGATGAGAAGTTGTTGAATAGGTTTGGGTGAGTGTTGGAATATAATAAAATTGTTGCATATTTTGAAATTAAATTTAGGTGTCAATAATCAAGGGCTTCTATTTTTGGTCGGTGAAATGGTATTGATGGATCGAAAGCAAAAACATTTCTAGTAGGTATTCTTGAACTAGTATCACAACATTTCTTTCAACCGGAGCTTGGGGTGATGTTATCAGAAGAATTGTTTGAATCTATTTTGTAAAAAATTGAATAAAGGATAGAAGGATAATAAAAGATTGTGTGAAATTAAAGGTTAAAAGGTTAGTATTTATAGAGTGGTAAGAAATTTATATATATATATATATATATATATATATATATATATATATATATATATATATATATATATATATATTGTGAGACGGTGACGCAATCCTAATCATTCATTTTGGAGATCAAAAAAATATTTTTAAAATGCAAAATAAATGAAAATTTTCAAAAAAAAAATTAATATTATTTTCGTCATTTTTTTATCCAAAAAAAATTAAATAAATAAATAAAATAAATTACCGTTTTTTTCAAAATATACATGAAATATTCTAATAGAATATTATAGTGTAATTATTCAAATCGAATTTTAGAATGTTAGAACATTCTACTAGAATATTAATCTATAAATATTCAAAACAAAAATCTAATAGAATATTAGAATATTCTAATAAATCTAAAAATTCAAATAGAATATTAGAATATTTTAACATATCTACCAATTTTAGTAGAATATAAGAATATTCTAACATTTTAAAAATTCAATTTGATTATTTACAGTGTAATATTCTATTAGAATATTTCACTCATATTTCAAAAAAATTATGATTTTTTTATTTTTTTATTTTTTATTTTTTTTTATTTTTTTGGATAAATTAAATAACGAAAATAATACTTTTTTAAAAAAAAAATTTGGATTTTCTTTTTATTTTGCATTTTATAATTTTTTTTATAATTTTTTTGATCTCCAAGATGAGTGGCTATGATCGCGTCCTCATATCTCACAAAATTAGAATGGTCTCAAATTAACATTGTCTTTTATGTAATTTTATATATTTCTAAAGCTTTCGACTATTTTTGCCAAAAACACATAACAAATAAAATTACACCTTCCAACTATGAGCTACTACTCTTCTACCTTCTAATAACTACTTTTGTGATGCACGCTGATATTTAGAATCATCCATGTGAATAAGTTAAACAATAATAATAAGTAATAAGTAATGATTACAAAGTACAAACAATAAACAGGAAAAGAAGTAAATGTAAGTTTTTAGATATATGAAAATATTGTATTATTATGAGAGGAAAGGGTTAAAATTAGTTGCTGATTGGACAAATACACCTACATGTGGTGTGTATTTAGGTGTGTTAGTGTTATTCAGCAAAGTACAGCAGCATTATCTGGCTACAAATACTCCCTCCCAACCCGATCTCAAGTCTCAACCCACCAATCCATTGCCTCCTGCATCATCGTCTCTCTCTCTACTCTAGATTCGAACCACTCTCTCTCTCTCTCTCTCTCTCTCTCTCTCTCTCTCTCTCTACAACAATGAGCAGCGATCTGAAGTCCAAATTCCTGCAAGTTTATGAGGTTCTGAAATCGGAGCTAATTCATGATCCTTCATTTGAGTTCGACGACGATTCTCGTCAGTGGGTCGAACGGGTACGATTAATTGTTAATTTCATATATTTACAGTTCTTCACCACCTCATCTCTGAATGTCCAATTGTTCGATTTATTTCTGCATGTATTATTTTTGTATGCATTAATGCCTTGACTGTGGACGTTCGTTTGTCCTGTCGCTGACTTGGATATCTGTTTTTAAAATATTTTATAAATTTCGAGAAGATTTGCGCGAGATTAGGATTTAATTTTCTGCTAATCACTATTGAAATTCTTTTGCTACATTAATTAGGAGATGATTACACTGAGTGCATAGTTTAAACGTTTCATGTTCTAACTTCTAAATCTATATCTATCTATTCGGCTCAAATATATTAATATATATAAACTTTTGAGTTTTTGATGAAAATTTGATTATTCAAATACAGAAATTAGATAGAATTCATGTATCTCTGTTTTCTTTTACAAAACCTAATAGCTGATCAACTATGGGGCCTAAACATTAGTTTTCTTTCTTTGAAACTATCGTAATGTTTTTTGTTGGCTATATATTATGATATACTATACATGCTCATTGTTTAACTTTAAGCCGTGGTATTAAATAGTATATACCTTCATGTGTCGTATTTATTTGGAGGGACATGTTACTATGTAAGCTCTTGTGTTTGTCATTTCTGTAGCTATGTATTTGAGCTCCACCTTTTAATGTTTGAATTCTATTATGTGATCTTCATAGCAAGAAACTAATAGACATATCCTACAACTTTAACAATTGTTTTTCTTACTTTCTGCAGATGCTTGACTACAATGTACCTGGAGGTAAAAACTGTAAAATCAGTTTTTCCATAATTTTTATTCAATAAATTTAACCTTTTGCAAATTGATTGTCTATCTTACAACAAAATATGGTTTATGCAGGAAAGTTAAATAGAGGCCTTTCTGTTGTGGACAGCTACAAGCTTCTAAAAGGAGAAGAACTAACAGAAGATGAAGTTTTTCTTGCATGTGCCCTTGGTTGGTGCATTGAATGGGTAATTACATATAAATACCAAAAACTATTTGTGCCTATGCATATGAATTTTCTTTTCCAAATAACTATTAAGGGGCTGTATGTTTTTTTTTTTCCAACTAAGTTACATATGGGTAAAGTGATTGAATGGGTAATGATAATAGTCTGTTTGGATAAACGCTTACATTCTATTTTTTCCACAATTTTCATCAATTGAAACGTGAGAGTGGTTGGTAGGAAAAAAGAAGTGAAGATAGGTAAAGGGGTCATGTCTTCATACATTAAGTCATGTTTTTTTTATTTAACCCATTAAATTGTCCTGTCCAGACTAAGTCAAAAAGAAAGAGTCATGTATACTTGTTCAGAGTAAGTGCTTAATGCATTAATTAGCTCATTAAGTCAAAAAGAAAGAATCAACGTATTCGTGTGTGTTACATGATAGCATTCGTTGTATCTTGTGATTGCAGCTTCAAGCATATTTTCTTGTACTTGATGACATCATGGATGAATCCCATACACGCAGAGGTCAACCCTGTTGGTTTAGATTACCCAAAGTCGGTATGATTGCTGTAAATGATGGAGTTGTTCTTCGTAACCATATTTCCAGAATCTTAAAGAAACATTTCAGATCAAAAACTTATTATGTGGATCTACTCGATCTGTTCAATGAGGTTTGTTTATGTTACATAGTCATTTTATTAACAACTTAATTTGATTTTTAGTTCCCGTGTTTTGAAATTTGAACAGGTGGAATTCCAAACAGCATCTGGACAGATGATTGATTTGATTACTACACTTGTTGGAGAGAAAGATCTGTCAAAATATTCTTTATCTATGTAAGTGACAATCTTATGTCTCTCTTCATAAACTCCACTTGATCTATGTAAGTCACAATTTTCATGTGGTGTTGCAGTCACCGCCGGATTGTTCAGTACAAAACAGCCTATTACTCGTTTTATATTCCTGTCAGTAGACTTTTGTGCTTATTTTGCTTTCTTTATATTTCTATTTTTCCAAAAAAAAAAAAAATTGATTTATTGTGTGGTTGAAGGTTGCATGTGCACTCCTTATGTTTGGAGAGAATCTAGATGATCATGTTCAAGTGAAAGATGTCCTTGTTGAAATGGGTACCTATTTTCAAGTGCAGGTAATTAGCTTGAAAGATTAGTCTCTCTGATTGTACGTAACATTTTTTTATTGGGAATTTTTTAAGGTCATTTTTCTGACAACAGTTATACACAAATGTTGAAATGAATATAATTTTTGATTGTTAAATAAAAATGTTGTAGGATGATTACTTGGACTGTTTTGGTGCTCCTGAGGTGATTGGAAAGGTTAGTCCACCAGAAATATATCATCATTTATTTATTTTGGTCTTGATTAAAGAAGCACAAGTACTCATGCTCTCGATTGTAACAAACAGATTGGAACAGACATCCAAGACTTCAAGTGTTCATGGTTGGTTGTGAAAGCATTGGAACTTTCTGACGAGGAGCAGAAGAAACTTCTCAACGTAAGCATCAACCACCACTTCTCTTAATTTTTACGTAGTTTTTGATATAAAAAGTGATTCATTCCAACTCATGAAACCATCTGTAACAAAGAAAAAAAAATTTCTTTTATGCATATATTTTTCTAACCTATATTGATTTTCAATGGTACCGTTCTTTACAAATTTAACTCGCATTTTCTGTATTAAAATAACTCTATCAAATGAACTTTTGAACAATTATAAGCAAAATAAATCTATTCATATTAATTTCGAATTAATTATATACTACTAAAAAACATTTTAATCATTTATCATAGACAATAACAATTAAATTTAATGTACAATATAAATTAATACATAATAATTTAATTTATAATTTAACATTAGAATTACAGATAAATATAAAAATATGATAGAAGCCGTAGGTGGTATGCAACCATAAATGAAAAGAAATACTATAGTAATATACAACGGAGAAACAATAATTCATTCAAACCTTGTTTAAGCCAAACTGAAATTACTTCTTCATAATGAGCTAAATTAAAAGAATGAAGTTAACAAAGTTTGTGTAAAAAATTGCATTTGTTTATTCAGGAGAACTACGGGAGGAAGGATCCGGGCAGCGTGGCAAGAGTAAAGGAACTATACAATTCTCTCAACCTTCAGGTTTCATTTTTTCTCCGTTCGCTATTTAATTCTTTACTTTTCCTAAATACAATTCTTACCCCTTCGACTACTTCTTTTTTATGGCATATAAATTTTAGGGCGTGTTTGAAGATTACGAGAATAAGACTTACGAAAAATTGGTGAAATCAATCGAAACTCACCCAAGCAAACCCGTACAGGCCGTGTTGAAATCTTTCTTGGCAAAAATATACAAGAGACAAAAATAGGAATAACTGATTCCGTTCCAATGTAATGTAATGTTGTTTGTACTTTCTACTTTCTAGTACCTTTCGCTTTGTATACTTGCATTCTGATTTCTGCACAATAAACTGGTAATCCAAAATTGGAGTTGTTTAGGGGGTGTTTGGCTTATCTTTTTTATAGGCAAAAGTTTTTTTTGGAAAAGTCACAAAAAGTTAGGTTTTCCTGACTTTTCCAAAAAGTCAGTTTTTCTTATATCAAAAATCCAAAAGTAGGTTTTAAAATCCTTTTACCAAACATCTTTTACATTTTATCTTTTTCAAAAAGGACTTTTGCCTCTCAAAAAGATAAGCCAAACACCCCCTTACTTTACGAATAATTACGCAATTACACTTTACAAAGTAATATAGATTAAAAAAGGAATCGAGCTTTCCATGAGCATTGCTGAGGAGACTAGTTTTGGTCGTCGAGGTCCAAAGATGATTAAATGAAGCGTCACGGGTGTCGAGGGAACTGCTTCTTTGGTAACGACAGCGGAAAGATCCGACGTGGGTGATCGGAGAGCAAATGCAGTTAGGTTTTGCGTCGGAAGGTGCTCTCGGTGTCGCCAAATGTGCGATTTCTGCATAGCAAATAGTTGTTGCGCCGCCGCCGTGCACAGTGGTCGGGATTTGTTGCTTTTTGGTTTGTTCCATGTTTATGTGGGACTGGGGCCTTTGTTGTTTTCCCTCCATGTTTTTTTTCTCTTCCTCTCCTCTTCCTCTTCCTCCTCCTATATAAGTTTGCAATTTCAATCCAAAGTCGTTGATAGCTGATAATACAATATTTATAGAGCCTAACAAACTAAAACATACTAAGACCATCTCCAACCCATCTCCATTTTTCCCCCATAAATGGAGTAAATAGTGTTTCATCTCCAACCCTACTCCATTTTTTACCCCATTTTTTACCCCAAAAAGTATATTCCTAGAATATTCCATTTTTATAACTTATATATATTGTCAAATACATCCCTCTACTAATTAAACTTTATATTTATGATTAATTAATATAAATTAGTATATAACATGATATTATAAATATTAAATATTGCATTTAAACTATAATTAGTAGATAAAATAAACTAGAAATGTATAAAATAAAAATGAGAGGGACTAAAATTGGCAACCAAACTTCACCTCCATTTTTGGAGATATGAATAGTATTCCCCCATATATGGGGGAATACTATTCATATCTCCAAAAATGGAGGTGAAAATGGGATAGGGTTGGAGAAGAATGGGGGAATAAATGGGGGAAGAAATGGAGTTTGGGGGTGGGTTGGAGATGCCCTAAACTATTTACAATCTCCCTATCTAATAAACAAAACCAACACTCCACGTGTCAATTCAAAACAGCAGAATTATTCCAAAGTTAAATACCGATTATACCATTACTTTGTTTCAACTACAAATCAAAATATATAGAACGCTCTGTTTTCTTTCCATTTACTCGGTGATAACAGCTGTACATATTAACTCAAAAATTCATTACATACCCGATTCATAGCATGTTATTATGGTATCCAATTTCTTATATAAGGTATGATATCAATTGCATTCAATTTGATCGTATTCTGCTCAATATATAATTCAAACATATGATATCAATCGTTTCTTTAGAGCATCGTGTTTCCAAGGTTTACAATCATCACAGTCGAAAATCGTCCACTCAATCACAGACTTCAATCCTTTCGGTAACTTTATAAAAAACCTACTTTCAGATTGTTTGTTTATCTTTTGTTTCTTCTTGTGTTTTTTTTAATGTTTGTGTTGTTTTTTTCACATCAGTTTCTGTTTCTCAATGTGTATGCGTGTGTTAATCATAATCGAAAATTGTTTCTGCTTCTTAATGTGTATGCGTGTGTGTGACTGCTTAACTGTTGCTATTTCTCTTTATGAACTAAATTGTTTTTTTAAGCCCCTGTTTCCCAGTCATGGACAGAACATGGCGACCTTTATTTGCTCCCTTGATGTTGCTATTTCTGTTTAATATTAACCATCATCATCTTAACATTAACGAAGTATTACTTTTAACATGAAACTTTTAGTAAGTTTTTTTGTTTAAACACAAAACTGAGAAATCAAACGTAAAAAATGTTGATTGGAGTAAAGTTATTGAGTGATTGGATATATATCGACCTGTTGACGAACACCGAGTGGATAGATATCGCCATATGTGACATCCCATTCGAAGAATCTGTATGGATCTCGAGCGCCGTGCCACTCTGTAAAACGACCTGATACACCAAAAATATGATGGCCGACACCTAAGTTCCTCACTTGCCATTTGAACAACTAACCTAAAAAACCTATGCCACATAAAGCAAAATAAGTCTTAATCGGTTCATAAATTTGATACTATTAATTTAAAAACAAAAACCAGTACATAGATATTAAATCAAAATTACTTATAGAAGCATATATATTCAAGTTTTTTCATAATACCCGAAAAAGGAAATCTAATCCAAGCATATATATTCAAGTTTTTTCCATAATTGACAATTTTGCCCTTTTAATTGCAAATTTTCTGTACATGGACATAATGGTAATTTTCGGTACAGGGATATAATGGTAATTTTCTTTACAGGGATATAATGGTAATTGAAAATTTTGCCCTTTAATCGCAAATTTTATGTACAGGGACATAATGGTAGTTTGTGTTTGTATGTGTGTTTCTGTATTATTTTCTTTGTTTGGTAAGTCCATGGAATTTTTCTCTCTTCAATATTTGTTTCTCTTTTTTGTGACTTTTAAATCCAATTGGTGCATTTTTGGGAAGTCTTCCACCCGTATAATATGTTAACCTCATTCACGACCACAATAAACTTTGTATTACACAAAGGGTAAAAAATTATGAAGCAAAAAAATGATTATTTAGTTTTATAACAATTTATTTCTGCATTTTTAACCCTTAATAGCAGCATACTTTCATTTTATGCAAAAAATAGCAACATACTTTCAAGTTATTAGGATATATTTGTTGTTTCTGCATATTTTGTTATAAATTCCTTTTTAACAATAAAACTTTACAAATAATCCACAAAATAAAAAGGCAACCTTCTATAATTAAATTGTTTTAATTTTTTTCTACATTTTTATCCCTTAATAGTAGCATACTTTCATTCCATGCAGAATATAACATTGTACTTTATAAGATTTGTGTTTTTAACAACTTTTTCATAAGAACATATACTATTTCCATATGTGTTTTTTTGTGTGTATTTGTTGTAACACAATAGAAAATTAGCATCACGATTAATTTATATTATTCATTGTGTTTCTCTTTAACATCTATTCAAATTTATATACTTTTTTACAAATATATATTAATATTAATTTTAAATAATCAATAGAAAAAGTGTTAAACAAACTTAACTCTTATTAATAATATAATTTTTTTATAAATTTTTTACCCGTGGTTCCCACGGGTTGTAACCTAGTATAATATATATATATATATATATATATATATATATATATATATATATATATATATATATATATATATATATATAAGGAGGGGTTCAATAGAGAACCAATATGGGTGAAGGAACCAATGAACCTATTAAGATGGTTGGATCAAAAAATTAACAGTCATTGGATTTGAGTTGTAAAAGTATGAGAAACAATAGTGTGCAGTTGATTATAACCAAACACGGAACTTAAGGGGGCATTTTCGTCAACCTAAAACTTATTGACTCAACGACGTTAGTTCATCTGTATCACATATCAGTGAAATCGATTTTACCCTCTCATTGAAAGCGATCTTTTACTTCACCGACGAACATCGATTTCAAAATCTTGCCGAAAAGTTCGTAAAAATGAATCTAGAAGGTATATTTGACTGCTATTCATTTCCGATTATCTCATGTAATGCATTTTAAACGTTAAATTTTCTGATTGATAAATTTCAAAACCAAAAATCGAAACTATCTGTTACATTATGTATTCGATGAATCTGCGAATACGATTTTATTAACAAAATCGTTTTAGGCTGATTTGAAACCCTCGGATGATGAACTTTTAAGAACTTGTATATATAATGAAAACCTAATGATTTAAATTTTTTCAAATCGATACAGAAATCATGAATATCTATATTACAAACCGTAGTTTCCTAAAACTTTGTGAATCTAACTCGAATATGAGTTTATTAACTAAATCGAAACCCTAACTTCATGAACTTTTGTGAATTTGTATAATTACCAAAAACTTAATGATTTAAATTTCTTCAAATCGATACAGAAATCATGAATATCTAAATTACAAACCGTAATTTCCTAAAACTTTGTGAATCTAAGTGGTTTCTGAGTTTATTCATTAAACTGAAAAACTAATTTCACATTTTGAATTCACGGTGTTCTTTGTGATTTACATTTGATTATTTCAAACAAATTCAATGTTTCTGAGTATTACATTATTTGACAATTGACAAAGTGAATCATGATTACATATCATTGATTCAAATTGTGAATTCACATGGTGCTTTATCATTTACATTTGATTTTTTCATCTTGTGCAAATTCACATTATGCATCTGTGTTTAATTGATATTGTATCTCATATTGTGCTTCTCATTGTAAATTTATAAAGTGTTGCATTGGTAATGTTTTGATTCATACTGAATTCACAATGTGAATAAATGTTATGTTAAATTCATCTGTAATCCTGATTCACATTGTGAATTATATGAATAAATCATAACTTCCATACCATGAAACTGATGTTTGAATTAATTTGTTAATCAAAAACAGGAAATGAAGAAAAGATCAACGAAAAAAAGGATAATAAGAAAAGAATGAAATTGACAAGAAATCTAAAAGATGTTCTACCTTCAACTACAAGTGAAAAAATTGAAGATATTCAAGATAAATAAAGGTTAGAACATTCACATTCAGATTAAAATAACTAATTATCTAATCATATACTACACACTTATTAAAAAAAACTAATTCACAATGTGAATCTTTGATGTAACTCATATCCTCACAGATTCACAATGTGAATCTCTTAAAAAAATTGCAAGTTGATTACCACTTTCGCTTGTTTTCACTATGCACACAATACGTGAAAATATTCACCATGTGTATGTGTACATCACTTGGTGAACCTCAAACTATTTTGGTATGAAATGTAGAGATTCAGATTGAGAATCTTCGATGTACACTCATATTCTCAAAGATTTACAATGTGAATCTCTTAAAGAATTTTCTCCCGGTGTCGTGCCGGTTTTGCCGTAAAACTTCGACGGGCCATAACTTCTTCGTTATA